CCCATTCAATTAATTTCCTCCTGCATGGTTGAAGAGCTCTTACTAGGTAGTAAAGATTAACTATGCATAAATCATGAACTTTATAATCATAAATCTTTAGAGCTTAGAAATTCCTACTAAGCTATAGAATACTTTCATCCTAAAACCTGAGGCCAAGATTGATGCTGCTGTCCACTGCCCACTTTTCAAACCTAGCATAGTACCCATGTACAGGGCTGGCCCTCAGTTATACACATGACTTCATGAACCATAATCAGCTACAGACCTCATTCATCAATTTTAAATCAATCAATCTTTCAATCAGGTAAATGCTACAAAGAAGGATGTGGCTTACCTAAAAAGTTTTGAACAAGGCTGATGGTTATGGATTTCTGTAATTAGAAAGAGGAAATATGTCTCAGTTAATCGTGCAAGACACAAAACCAAACCAAACTCCATCCCTATCAAGTCGATTCCAAGCACAGCAACTCTAGAGGACAGGGTAGACCTGCCCTATAGGGTTTCCAAAGCTGTTATCTTTATGGAAGCAGACTGCCACAGCTTCCTCCTGTGGAGTAGCTGCTGGGCTTGAAATGCTAACCTCTTGGTTAGCAGCCAAGCACTTAACTATAAAATAGCTCAAATTCTTCTTCTCCTTTAAGTAAAATTTCAGATGATAAAAGGCCTCCCTCTCCACAACAGTGTTGTGTGTCTGTGATAGAGACAGCGCCACAACACCTCCTTACTACTGGAAGTCAGGACACAGTCTCAGAACAGAGTCCACTGGAGAAAAGGGCCCCATTGCCATATGTCCATGGATGAGAAGCACACATTCGAAAGCTTTCGTTCAGGAATGCTGCTATGTGTGCCCTTACTCAGTCTTATCTATTTAAACAACTCACAAAAAGCAAAAATCAACCTCCAACTAGAAGCATTTACTTGAGCTGGATAAAAGCTATGAGGGCAGCATGGGGACAGGAGGGCCTTAAGTGTCCTACCATCAATAACCAACAACCTGTGATGACCTGGCCAGGTGTTCTGGAGGAAGCAGGGGAACTCAGGAAGTGTAGCACCCCTCAAAGATGGTCGGTACCAGGGGAGACAGTCATGTGTAAGGCAGGCCCTCATGGCTTCCAATGGGCTGCTGTGATTAACCAGGGGGACCTTTCTTGGAGTCCATCAGAGGGCTTAGGGTTTGGGCTATTTTGTGAGACCAGAAGACTGACCTTCACCTCTAATAGTCATATTCCTCTGGAATGTGACTCATCACTTGATGTCTCAAAAGCCTCAGCCTCTGGGGTCCAGGCTGCAATTGTAACTCAGAGTGAACTCGCAGCCCTGAAGGACATAGAAGCCCATTAGCTTCTACTTGTATGAATGCTGTCAACACATGCAAACGCAACACTGCGTAAGAGAGGCAAGTTCATCTGCCTCGCTGTGGTGGCTGACATAGGGACAAATGCCACGCTGCCTGAGAGAGGCAGGTTCATCTGCCTCACTGTGGCGGCTGACATAGGGACAAATGCAACACTGCCTGAGAGAGGCAGGTTCATCTGCCTCGCTGGCAGCTGACATAGGGACACGGGTTAAGACTAACTCATCTAGAAACACCTTCTGTTACCAAAAATCCAAGTCTGAAGCCGCCTTACAGTGTGCATCAGAGGTCCTGTGTGTTATTAGGATGTGTAACTTCTGTGGCAAAAACATCGCTTAGAGTTTGGGGCGGGGAGGACACCTGCTGCTTTAAAGGGATCTTGTTTCAGAGAACCCCTAGCGTCAACTCTGCACTCTGCAGACACACCCTGCCACCAGGCAGTGCCAGCAGCTTTGTGACTGACAAGCGGTAGAAACACATCAAGATGTGTTCAGATGATGCCACAGGTTCATCTGGAGGAAGTCAGAGCTCTCTCCCAACACTGTTGGCAACCCTGAAGCTCCATGAAGAAAACAGCTCAGATCGTAACGAAGTCAGTGAACTCGCAGACTGAGAAGTGGCACTGGAAGCAGGCAGAGAAGGGGGGCTTTCACCGCCTCATGGGATTCCAGAGTCCCTCCCACCTTGCCATCTCAGCTTCACGCCACTCCTCTCCACGGGCACACGGCCTGTCTGCACACGCTCTTTATAGACCCCTAGCATGCGAGACTGCTGTTTCTGCTCATTTTCCCGTCTGTCTCCATGGCTCCTCCTGGAGGCTGAGTGGGACAGTTCTTCCTTTCTCCTTCCCCTCCACTCCTTCCAGTAACTGTCACTGCATCCTCTCTCTTACAAAGACATTTTCTGTTGCTGCCTTGTCCCTATCACTCCTGGAGCTAAGGGTGGACAACCTCTGCTTACCATCAGTTCGTACAGCTTTTTCACACAGATCTTCATTCACAGTAAGACACAGACATTTCATGTTCAATGTGCAATAGTCTATGTAATATGCCCCTTATTGTACAGGGTAAGGTAAAGGTATCTGCAATTGCGTTCAGGCACTTTCAATAAATAGTAAATGTGGTCAATTAATTTTACTGAAAACACCTTATTCTGGAGGTCCAGATACGCCAGAACATCTCTTTATGCTACTGGAACAGAACAGTGCACTTGGGCCACTTCACCTCATGTTTCCCTTTCCCCAGGTTTCTCCAGAGTCCCTGCTTAACCTTTTCAAATATGTGTTTATTTTTCAAAGCAAAATGTTACAGTTGTAACAATACATTTAAGGTAATAACACAAGGAAACACTTTATCCTTGAGATTCATGATTGTGCCAATGAATGTACTGAATGGAGCTAATAAATAAAGCAAAAGGTGGTTGTCATGGCACTGTGTTAACCAGGAATCTAGGAATTGGTACTTCTTGGTATCTACAATACCATAGAAACCAGCATTTACTGCAAGAACCTGAAAGTTTATAAATCAAAATAACTAGTACATTGTGCTCTGCAGCACTTGTTACTTTACCATTCTATTTCTTGTAAAATAAATAAACAACCAGAACATTAACCCAAAATGCTGTTTTTTAAAATTGGGCCAGGTCAGAGCGCTGTCTTGTATGGTTTGTTGCCTCTGGTATTTCCACTGTGATCTCCCTAATTCTGAAAACCAAGATGCAATCAAATGTAAACAATAAGTAACTGCACAGATGTTCTGTGAAACAAAATTCTGTATTTATTTTAGAACTTTACGGAATTAGACAGGGAAAAAAAAAAAAAAAAAAACCTCAATGAAAGAAGAGCAGTACCCAGTCCACACATCAAGTGTTTACTTAACAATACTGCAATGAGTGAGTATTCCAGCTTCCAGCCTCTAGTTCCATCTCATTTCCCCTCAGTTCTTAGCCTACCCCAGTCTCACCCTCATCCTTCAATAATGGACTCGAAGGCTATCGGGCAGCCTGGCAAAGGCTGGCTGGCCCCGACCTCTGCCTTGCAGCCGCATTTCAAGCTACTCACCCCACACATGGTGGTTTCCTTCACAGAAGCCAACCAGCCTCCCTGTGTGTGCTCTGCATCCTCCTGGGCTCCCCTGAGCTACCACTGCCTTCCAGTACACCTCCTCCAAGAAGTCTCTAGTGATTTCACACTGGCAGCTTTTCTTTGTTCCTTCCTTACAGCATCATCTTGCACTGTCTGCTATTCCTGAATCCCTGTCTTACCCTTCTGTGGTAGTTACGTTTGTGTGTCAACTTGGCTGGGCCCGGTTGAGTGGCTGGGCAGCTGGTGGTAGTTATTTCCCATGATGAGACTGGCGATCAACTCCATGGTGGGATCTACCACAAGCAGCTGAGTAGCTGCCTTTGGGATATGGTCTGCTTCCTGTGTTTAAGGGGAAGCCTTGGGAATGGTCTCTAGCCTATGGCACGCTTGGACCCTGCGTGTAGCTGTGTCATTGCTCAGCAGCCTGCTATGCTCTGCCGATCTTGGGATTTACAATGGACTTAATAGCCTGCCATGTGGTTTGGTAACATTGGGACTGTGCCTTTTTACTTGTCAGCCTTGGGCCTTCTTGGTCTCAGCAGTCAGCAGCTGTCTGAGTGAAGAAAAGCCTCTAATTCCAGTGGGCGGGGAGCAGAAGGCAGAGCGGGACCCCAAGGTTGAGGGGCTTTCACCCAGCCCCTGGAGCCTGGTACTTTGAAATTGGACTTAAAGCCTCCAAATTGTAAGAATAAACTCCTGTTTGTTAAGGCCATCTCATTTGTGGTATATTCCTGTCGGAGCAGCACTAGGGAACTAGAAACACCTTCCCAGAGCCCTGACAGGCAGAGGCGTTACTGTTTCCTTGATGAGGATCTAGATACTCCCCTCATTGCCTAGCACCTGCCTTACACAGGGAAGTGCTTCTATGAATGGACACTGATACATGAACGAGAAGTCCCTTGCTATGTCATCTGGTTATCAGGAGATGCTGTGTGGTGATGTGCCTAAGGAGCAGCTGAAAGGACAATGTCTGTTTAGCAAAAGGAGATAGACACAAAGACAGGGGGCACACCCACAAGCAGTCTCTCTTCTTCTCCAGCAGCCTCCCCAGATCGACTGGCTGATCACTCAAAAGGCCGTGGAGCTTCAGCAGCTATCACGTGGAAACAAGCACAAGCATCCTTGTCAGGCTCCTTCAGGAAGGACCAGCACGATACGTGCATCATGCAGGAGGAGGAGACGCCAGCCATGAGGCTAGTCTAAGTTGCAAATCTGAGGCTCACTGAGGTTTTGAAGAGACTATCAGGTGGTCATAGAGAGGTTCAAGAATACTCAAACCAGTGATGGGGTAAATGACAGCTCTAGACAGAGCACCTCAACTCATAGCTACGCAACACTGGACAATGTCTGGAAATGAGTAGAAAAGACCACCTTACACTGACTTATAAAAACATGTGATACTACTTACTAGTGCAAATAATTTGCATTGTCATTTTAGGTTTTCTTTTCTCTGTCCATTTTTAATCTTTTAGATTAAAATGAAGGATGAGCCAAAAAGCCAGTGTATGTGCAGGAATGCTGTTCTGCGGATCAGTGATCCACTTACTTACCAATTACCTGCAGAAATTCTGTGTTGCTGATTTGTGAGTCACTGATGCTAAAGGTCTCCTCTTGTCTCACCTCGCCGAGCAAAAATCCTTCCTAAAAGAAATCAAAGACAACAGCTGCAGACTCAAAGTGATGCCATTTTTACTGAGATTAAGAGTAATTAAGGACAGTGTGATTTAATAATTTTAACAATACCCAAATAAGCTTGCCATATAACACTACTAGTCTAGGAACCAGCAATTAGCCTAAAGCAACCTGGGTCTACTGATTGACCCCATTATGTGAAAAAAGAATTCCCTAATAAGATGCAACATTGTTTTCACCCCTGAAGTCTTCCCTATTTTCTGAAGTAAAAACAAGTAGTGAATCCATCACCTCAGTTATACTGTATCTAATACCCATGTCAGAGACAGTCAGGAAGTTTGCTCCCTGGTTACTTTCTTGAAATAGATACAACTTAGTTCATTGTTTGTAAAACACTGCTAATGAGAACAGGCTAAGGCAGTCGACACAAAGCCCAGCTGCCTGCCCTCCTACACCTCAGGCCAGCACAGGAAGGGAAACTTCAGCACATGGATGACATTTTCTATCACTCATGTGAAGGTGTTTCTTTACTAGATCCCAGGGTTAGTAGTCTTTATACCTTTGGAGAACACAGGCCACCCTAATCAGTTCTACAGTCCACTGTTTAAGTTCAGTCCTGCCCAACCACTGGTGGAGTAGAGATACCCTAATCTTCTACACCTGTAGAGAACTGGCAGGAGCTATGGCGATGTAGTGGTTAAGGCATCTGGCTGCTAACCAAAGGCTGGTGGTTCAAACCACCAGCTGCTCCGCATAAGGAAGATGAAGCACTGCGCCTGCGTAAAGATTTACAAACTGGAAACCCAATGGGGGTTGCTGTGAGTCTGAAGTGACTCCATGGCAGTGGGTTTGGCTTTGCTTTGGCAGAAGAGCTGAGCTGATAAGCTGTCCTGGAATGTTCTCTCCCCAGATACCCACATGGCTTACACCTGCCCTTCACTCAGGTCTGTTCTCTTTAGGGCACCTTATCCCAATCAAAACCAAGGAAATACCAACTGTCGGGCTTTTTCTTTTTCTTCTTAGTCTCATTGCTACTGGCCATAGTACATATATATAAATAAATAAATGTCTAACCCCACTAAAAGAGCTCTGGTGGCGCAGTGCCTAAGGCATTTGACTGCTAACCAGAAGGCTAGCGGTTCAAACCCACCAGCCACTCCTCCGAAGGAAGGCTGGGCAATCTCTTTTGTAGTGATACCACTTCAGAAACCCACAGAGGGGTCACTAGGGCTCGGATCCGATTTGATGGCAGTGAGTTTGGTTTTGGTGAACCCCACGAAAACGTAAGCTCCAGTAAAGCAGGGACCTTTGACTTGGTCGTTGCTATGTCACCAGCACCTAGCATGGTGCCTGACAGATGGTAATCAAAAACCCATTCCCATCAAGTCAATTCCAACTCAGAGTGACCCTACAGGGCAGAGTAGAACTGCTCCATAGAGTATACAAGAATGGCATCTTCATAAGAACAGATTGCCACATTTCTCTCCCACGGAGTGGCTGCTGGGTTCAAAGCACCGATGTTCCAGCTGACAGCTGAGTGCTTCACCACTGCACCCCCAGGGCTCTTGTGACACAAGGTAGGTGCTTAAAAGCACTGGTTGAAAAAGAACGTTGAAATAACACCTTCAAACTATACACCCTGCTCTTCTAGGCTGATCCTTCAAATCGATGACAGATGCAATCAATTTCCAATTGCTAGCAGAGAACCAGTGAGGGTAAGTAGGGCAGACAGACACTTTATACAATAGCTTTTATGTTGTCATGTTGTTATGTGCCATCGAGTCAGACCTGACTCATAGCGACCGACCCCTCCTTGGGTTTCTGACGCAGTTATCACTACAGAAGTAGACCGCTTAACCTTCCTTCTGAGGAGTGCCTGGTGGGGAGGAGTAGTGTCCTAAAATCCCAAATCATTTCTCAAACTTGAGTAATATACAGATCCCCTGCCAAAGGAGAAAAAAAAAGTATACCCAAAGGAGTACCCATCACTACTAGTTCTGAACACAGACTAAAGAAGCTTATTTCATAGAAGTCTTTCAGCTATAATTCTCACTAGAAAAGAGAAGTTTCTTTATAACAGGTTACCAAAAAAAAAAGAAAAGAAAAGAAAACATATTTGCGAATTCCCCAGAATTTAGTGTTGCACAGTCTGGGGCTGCCAGATTTAGCAAATGAAAATGCAGGATGTCCAGTGAAACCTGGCTTTCAGATAAACAGCCAATATTTTTTCTGTAATATTTGGGGTTCACTTATACTAAAAAAGTATTGGTTGTTTCATGTGGGATTCAAGTTTAACTAGACGTCCTGTATATCTTTTGGCAATCCAACTGCACTCCTGAGTTTGAGAAAGTGATACGAGCCAGCAGTGACTTCAAGACATTTTAAGACCAAGTATAAAATGAATGTTTAATTATCTAGTGGTCTAGATTCTCTGAGCCACTGTCACTTAATAGCAGGGGCAGGCAAACAACCATGTGTGGGCTAAACTCAGCCTAGTCCCTATTACATGGCCTGCAGCCAAGAACTAGTTTTATATTTTCTTAATGGTTGACAAAAACGGTTTTAATATTTCATGAAATGTAAAAATTACAAGAAATTCAAATTTCAGCATTCATAGTAAAATTTCATTGGCATACAGTGTCCCTCATTCGGTTACTGTTTATGGTTGCTTTCTCCCTGGAATGGGAGAGGTTGAGTAGCTAGGACAGAGAACATACAGGCCACAAAGCCTATAATATTTAGTATTTGTCACTTTCCAGGAAAAGTTTGCTAATCACAGATCTACAGAATGAGTGAATTTAAATGAATTTCTGCCTGCACAAAACAAATATGTACTTTAAAATTAAATTCCTGGTTCTTCAACTTTAAAATGTATACAGGTAAGATTATTTTACAGTATTCCACACTGATAATGGTGGCAACATAACAGAAACAAGCACGGCCATCTAAAACACAGAGACAAACTATTGGCATTGGTGAGTTTCCATGAAATCCAGCCGCACACCTGGCAGACAGCAGGTAATACAGCAATCTCTCTTGAATTAAACGAGTAAGAATCAAAGTAACATAGCTATCGCACTGCAGTTTATAGAAAAACTATTCATTTTGCAACAGGTAGTTGCTTATTCTTACAAGAAGCTTGCCTTATACATAAACTGTGCTGTTAGTAGGCACTCCCAGAACTAGGGAGGGTTGGAAGCATCCCTGAAACCATATTTGATACTTCTACGGATACTAGCAGCATCACAAACCACCTCTATATTTAATTACATGACATTTTAAAACAGCTGGCTGCAGTCGTAAACAATGTAGCCTCCAGAGAGATGCTTTTGGAAAAAAACATGCTGTGTATATTCCTATTATTAATCTATACCATCAATACTGAAGAGATGAAAGGTACAATAACTTAATTGCATTCAATTTATTCATGGAAATCACCTCTGTGAAATCGGTTTTTATTAATGGACGTTAAGATCACTGACATCAACCCAAATCAGTTCCTTCCAGTGCAATGTATCATTTTGCTTTGTAATCATAAGCTCCCCCACCCCAACGTACACACTGACACTTATTTAATGGAATCATGCATTGTTTTTATCATTTAAAGTTATCCTCCCAATTGGGTGAGCAATTTAAATACCCAACTGAAGAGAAAAGTTATTTTCACCAGGAATTTCCATGCAGAGGCCGGTGGCATAGAACGACAACTCGTAAGATACACACAGACACTGAAGCAGACAGGCTCTGCTCCCCCTATGGGCTCCGAAGCCGATGCACTGCCCAGCACTCATACGTGGGCCTGTCACTTCCCTATTTCACTGCGACGAGTCCCGTGGTCTCAGAACACTCGCCAAGGAATTCCACACGCAACTGCCACGGAAGCCAGGGAGACCCTGCACCTTAGCGCGCCTGTTTACATTTTCCGCTCCCCCACCCACCCACCGGGCGAAGAAAACACGACCACGTCAAGCAACTGAACAGTGACAACCATGACTCCCCTCGTCACACCCCACGGCAACCTGAGACCGGCGGGCGGGCCTGGGCGCCTCGTCTCCCCTCCTAAAGCCCAGCCTCTCGGCTCCTTCCCGACCCCAGACGCCTCTCACACGTCAAGAATCCTGACTCTCCGGAGGCGCAGGCGTTCGGTTTTCCCCGAGCGCCTCGTGACACTACGGGCCGCCCTGGCGAGACAGCTTTGCTGCGCGGGAGACAGCTGCAATGGGACCGCCGGGCGGTGCAGTGCGCCGAACGAGGGGGATCCATCCCAGGGCGACGGAGCCCAGGGCGGCACAAGCTCGCTGGGGCCGGGGGCAGCCCGAGCAACCAGCTCCTCCGGCCGGCCTGGAGCCCGGGAGCGAACAGAGAGCGGTCCCGGCCTGGCCGCGGGCGCCGGCCAGGGGCCGAGGCTGGAAGCCAGGGAGGCCGCGGCGGGGGTCCCGGCACCTACGTGGTCCGCGTTGCTGTTGGCGCTGTGGAAACACACAGCGCTGAAGGTGTAGCCCGAAATGGAAGCCGCCATGATGGAAATCTCCAACTCCCCCATCATGCCCCGCAGAGGTCAGACGGCCTTCCGGCAGGCGCCGCCCCTTGACATGCTGGGAAATGGAGTCCGCGGAGGAGCCGCAGGCCGAACGCCCAGGTTCAGGGCTGGAAAACACAGGTTGACGTCATGGGCAACCGCTCAGCACGGTGAGCTCAGCTTGGCCTCGAGACCAGCACGCCTCAGACACCGCCCCTCTGGATGGTCCCTGATCACTGCTCCATAGAGTTTTTTTGTTTGTAAATAAACGTTTCAGTCTTAAAAGCCAGTATCACTGAGCTCAACCCTGACGGGAAGGAGAGGAGTCAGAAAACTGTACGGGTTAGGATTTGAATATAGGACCGACATGATGTGATTCAAATTTTAATATGGCTACTGGGGCTGCAAGGAGTTCTGGTAGTATAGCAGTTAAGGCATTTGGCTGCTAATCCATGTCAGTGGTTGAACCCACCAGCTGCTCCCTGGAAGAAAGATGAAGCAGTCGGCTTCCGCAGAGGTTTAAACCTTGGAAACTCAATCGTGATTGCTATGAGTTGGAGTGAACTCCATGGCAGGAAGTGCCAAGGAGGAGGGGAGGTTACTACAATACTTAAGACCATCCGTGACTTGAAGGTGGTTAGAAATGAAATGGTTAGCACTGGTAGTGTAAGAAGTGATTGGATGACTGAATTCTGGGTAGGAAGGAACATAAAATTAATGAGAAATCATAGAAAGTAGATTAAAAAGAACATAATAAGTAACAGTGAAAACCCACTAAGTTAGGAAAAGAAATCCAGGGAAGAACTAATACTAAGAATCCAAAACGAAACCCACGATTCACTTCTGACTCATAGCGACCCTTTAGGACAGAGGAGACCTGCCCCATAGGTTATGCAAAGCTTTAAATCTTTATGGAAACATGCCTCATCTTTCTCCCATACTGCCACTGACCTTTGCTTAGCAGCCAAATACTTTAACCACCTTACCACCAGAGCTCCATGGAATTAACATTAGTAATCATTATTCTTCAATTTGCTCAATCTTTTGTGTTCAAAGTTGGGCTGCTGATCTTCCACAAAGCTCCTTAATTAACTTGCCCAAGGTCATACCTCACGTGGACTAAGCTTCAGTTGACTCAAGTCCACCTGACTCCATACTCCACAGTCAGGCAGAAAAATACAAAGGAAAGAGTGACTGGTGTTGATGGAGGAAAACTGGCTGAGTGCTAGAGCTCTCCGGAGGAAGACGGGAGCTGGGGCGTGGTGCTTAGCGGCCCTTGGGAGGTTTGCTGAGAAGCTGCTGCCATGGTCCTTGGGAGCAGTGAGCTGTGAGCCTGAGCAGCCCCAGAAAGAGAGCAGTAGTGACAGGCCCCTGAGGCCCAGAGAGCAAGGGAAGACAGGCAGGCATCTGTGCAGAAGGGTGAAGGATGGCAAAGGTTATGGATGATGCTCTGGTTTGGGATGACAGTGTGGATGGTCAGGGACCATGCAGAGAGTCAGGAAACAATTGGCGAGATGGGGAAAGAGGTTTGGAGACATGGGGGCAGAAGGCCGGCAGTGCCAAGTGAGGTCTGGTTTGAACAGGTTGAGGTTAACGCAACAAAGGACATGCGGGCAGATGCAATACAAACCGGGGAATCAGAGGGAAGAGGTTAGAATTGGAAGTCACAGATAATAACAGCTAATATTCATTGAAGGGTATCATGCTTGGTAAAGTGGAGGGTCAACGAAGAAGGGAACAGACACATCTCAACGAGATGGACAGACACCGTGGCTACAACGACGGGCTCAGGTAGAGCAAGGATCGTGAGGATGGCACAAGACCAGGCAGTGTTTCATTCTGCTGTGCACAGGGTCACTATGAGTCGGAGACAACTCGACGGCACCTAACAACAACATTCATTGAGTACGTATTCTACATTAGGCTATGTTCTAAGCTCCTTACACATACAATTTATTTATGTAATCTTCCTAACAATCCTTTAAAGTAGATCCACTTTAAACTCCATTTCACAGTAGAAACTGAGCTAACATGATTTGAGCATATAATGTGCCAGGCACGTAGGACTTTGCAGGGGTTATTTCATTTAATCTCTACAGCTGCCCTATGTGACAGGTGCTGTTTTTATCCTTGTTATACAGATTTCTGAGGTCCCGAGAAATTACACGTGGTAAAGCCATGACTCAGAACCAGGCAGGCGCTTAGCTCTTCTTCACTTAAGAGCAGGTGGCATTGGGAAAATGAGGGCTTTCAAGAAGGGTGCAGTGAATGGTGTTGATTACTGCAGAAGGTCAAGGACTTGACCCTTGGGTTTGCCAATTGAGAAGTCTTTAGGAAGTCTTAGATGGCATTTTCAGAGGGGCTGTGGGTCAGTGGGCACCAGGCTGCTGGGGGGTGAAGATCAAGAAGGAGACAGGCAATGCACACTGGTCGCAGGGTCTCCCTCCTGCCTCTCTTATGGGACCCGGTGGGAGGGACTGTGTTCCTTGGAATAGTCCTGCTTCTCCCTGGTGATGGGTAACTTCGCTCAGATTGAGCTTCTCCACCCCCCATTCCACCAGGAATCCAGTTGCCAGGGTGATCAGAGGTGGTGCCCCACATAGCCTTCAGAACTAAACAGCCAGATTAATCCTGCCTGGAGCCAGGAATGAAACTGTATAAACTGTGGATTTTTCCAGGGCTCCCTAATAACAATTGTTTATGCTTTTGTGGCACATAGCAAAAACATCTGAAGTGTTGGCAAGATACCAAGTTGAAAAAGGCCTTATCTTTCATAGTGTTTCTTAATTAGAACCAAAAACTTTTTAAGACCCACTCAGTTACACTCAAGCTCAATTTCACTAGTGTCTAGCATCCAGAGAAGATCAAAACCACTGTTCACGCAGGGCAGCATCAGGTGGGTTTATTATACAGTTACAAGGTTACTTACTGTTCTGGTTCCCTAGTGTTACTCTGACAAAAATATACCACAAATGGGATGGCCTTAACAAATAGGAGTTCATTCTCTTACAGTTCGGGAGGCTAGAAGGCCAAGTTCAAAGTGCCAGGCTCTAGGGGCTGGGTGAAAGTCCCTCAACCTTGGGTTGCAGCTCTGCCTCTTGCTCCCAGCCCACTGAAGCTAGAGGCATGTCTTCACTCAGGCAGCTACTAGCTGCTGAGGCTAACAAGCCCAAGGTCAACAAATAAAATGGCACAGTCCCAATGTTACCAAATCACATGACAGGCCATTAATTCAAGCCCATTGGAAGTCCCAAGGTCAGCAGATCATGGCAGGCTGCTGAACAACATGGCTACATGCTGGGTCCAAGCATGCCATAAACTAGAGACCATTCCTAAAGCTGCTTCTTATATATGGGAAATAGACCACATACCCAAAGCAGCTAGTCAGCTGCTTGTGGTAGATCCCACCATGGAGTTGACTGCCAGTCTCATCATGGGGAATAACTATCACCAACTGCCCAGCCACTCAAGCAGGCCCAGCCAAGTTGACACCCAAACATAACTACCACAATTCTACCTGTTGTCAACTTGGCACCTGTATAGATCTTCAATAGGTGGTATCTGTACAGGTCTCCTCCACTGGATAACTCCAGTCCCCTAGTTCCTGAGTGGTGACCTTACCCCCCTTGGCCTGGCAGGCCTGTTCCTCTCCCTCTTGGTCATAGCAGCCCTGCCCCCTCACTCTTGGGCAGTAGCTATGGTTCCATCCCACTGGCTCACATGAACGAGCAGTCCCACCCTCCAGAACCAAGTTGGTGAAGGTCTGGCTCTTTGAAAGCTAGGGGGCTGTGGTGGTTCCACCCCAAAGGGCCACGGTCCTACCCTTTCAGGCTGGGGCAGCTTTGCTTCCATTTCCACGGTCTCTTTGCTTCTGCTGAATAATGCCAAAGGTAACCCACTCTGCTGGAAAACTTCCTGCCCCAAAATCACTTGGCTTTCTTGCTCCGTGGGCTGGCCAACCTGTTACTCCATTTCAAGCCAGTCTATTCTACCAATTAATGCCCGAAGGCAACCCACTCTACCAGGAGGCCGCCTACACAATGGCACCCTGCTTTCTCCTTTGTGGGCTGGTAAGCCTGTTGCTGTTTAATGCTGGTCTCTGGGCTCTGCTACTGCCATCTTTCATGGTGGTCTCTCTGCCAGTATCTCTCAGCCAGTCTTATGGCTCTGTTACTACTGTCTCTCATGCCATATGCTGGGGTGTCTCTGCGAGGGTCCTGGGTCAAGGACACACTCCACTCCTGTTTCCACATTTTAGGTATCTGTCAGAGCAGCACCCTACTCTTGGTACCAACTATGTTAGACTGGGTTCTCTAGAGAAACAAAACTAGTAAAGCTTATATATAGAGAGAGAAAAAGAAATTTATCTTAGGAAAATGGCTCACACACTTACAGAAGCTGCAAGTCCCAAGTTCTTGGATCAAACGTCAAGCTGGAGGCTTTTCCTGACTCACACAGCTGCAGGGGCTGAGGAGCTCAAGGTTGGCAGGCAGTGTACTGGCTGTTGACTCCAACGAATGACAAATCCAAGATCTCCAGGCCGAATGGTGCATTGTTCGCTCACAGACAGTTGTAGGCAGAATCCTAATCCACAGAAGAATGTCTCTTTTCCCAGGATGTCCATAAATACACTAGAAACAGGCCACACCCCTAGGGAAACTCCCTTTCAACGATTGGCTGCTCAAAACATATACATCTGCTCCCATCATTGGAACAACCCACATCACAATTGCTTAAACCACACAAAACTGTGGTCCAGCCAAGTTGACACACAGCTCAACTATCACACTTATGCACTTCTTTGAGTTCTTTAATCACTCCAAGCATGGATTCCCATCTGCCTTCTCCTCACTCCATCACCTGTGGTTGCCTGAAGATCCTGAATGCCTTGTAAAGGAGAGGCACATTTGTCCCTAATCAGGACTTCCATGAGCTAGTGTGGCAACTGCTGATACTACTTTCCTCTGGGGACTTGTTATAGGCTTCTGTCTGCAGACCCAACAGAAAGGGAGCCAAGAAAACAATTAATTTTGGTTGGAAGGTAGCCTGGGTAGGGGCCTTTGAGATAGCAGGACATTCCAAACCAAACCAAACACCACGCTATTGAGCCAATTACGACTCATAGCGATCTTACGGACATTGGATCACTAGTATTTTATTGTTGCTACAGTGAAAAAAAACCAACCTCTAAGCTTTTGGTCCTCAGAGCTCTTGCACTACAGTGCAGGGCTAAGACCAGCAGACCTAGATGTTGATGCAACCTCTAGCTTTGGCAACCATTTTCTAGCACAAGTCATCTTGTAGGTGGGGCCCCAGAGAGGGGGAGAAAAGGGAACCACAGGGAGGTAAAGTCAGATGAGGCGGGATGCCTAGTCAGCGGCAGAGCTGAGACCAGAAGCCAGACATCTAGACTTTCTTTCTTTCACTGATCCCGTGGTGGGACTGTTAGGGGCAGTTGTAGGATATTCGCTTACCAGTAATGTCAGGTTAAAAAAGGCCAGAATCCTAGCCAGAAAAGAAATGAGCCATCCTGCCAGGAGGGCAAAGCCACGTCAACAATTTGCAGGGATGAGGCGATGTATACCTTTGGCTGGAGCAATGGAGGTTTTAAGTAGATGGTTGATTTCCCCACCGCCAGTGTCTACAGAAATCAATAACTTAAATGGTCTCTTACAGATCAAACTAAAAAACAAAATCCACAGCCGTCCAGTCGATTCGGACGCATAAGGACCCTCCAGGACAGTAGTCATCAAACAACTCTCAGATGGCCCCTGAGGCCGGAGTGGACCCGACGCCGGTTGGAGGGGACACCCCCGAGGGCTCTGCCTCGCCCACACCGGTGCTGGAGGAGCCCCGAGTCGTGACGCAAGCTGATCCCTGAGAGCGAAGCGAGGCCTGGCGGCCCCAGCGCGAGGCTGGAGCAGTAGAGAGGGCCGCCTCCCGCCGCCTAGAAGCGCCCGCCCGCCGTCCGCTCTGCCCGCGCTGCGTCTCTATGGCGGTCTCTACGGCCGTCCGGGACGCCAGGGAGATGAGCGCGGGCGCTGACGGCGGCGGCGGCGCTGCGGCCGCGGCGCGGTCCCGAGAGGGCAGTCCGGGGAAAGATGCCTTCGTTCCCTCGGCGTTGGGAACCCGAGAGCAGTGAGTAGGGCTCGGGGCAGGCGGGTGGCATGGAGGAGGGCACGGAGGCGCGGGGATCTGGGGTCTCGGGCCGAGCAGAGCTGGGGGCGTGCGAAGGGAGAAGCTGAGGGCCGCCTTGGCTGAGGCGAGGGAGCAGAAACACGAGGGGCTGGCTGGAGGGACCCCGAAGCGCTTGGGGAGGCCGTTCGGCGTCTGGACCCTGAGGTAGGGCTAAGGGAGAGGGAGAAAGGACGGTGACGAATAGTGCGGGTGGGCGAGGGTCAGAGGCCCGGGAGGACGGCCGGCCAGGCGCCGGGACGAGCGTGAGGACGTGCGAGCCGAAATGAGTGGCGGACGAAGGAGCGAGCAGGTAGCGGGCTTCGTTTGCGGGGAGAAGGTGATCTGGAACAGACCCTCGGGAGCTACCTGATGAATTAATGAATGGTTGAACGCACGGCTTAGGGGACGCTCAGGGGCAGAGGTAGCGTGGAGATTACAGAGAGACGACGGGAGAAGAGAAGGCTCACGGGGTGACACGGAGGCCCCTAACTGCAGGAAAGGAGCGGAGGTGGCGGCGTGGGTAAGGCGTTTGGCTGTTAACCGGAAGGTCGGTGGTTCAAACCCACCAGCGGCTCCGCGAGAGGAAGAGGAGGCAGTCTGCTTCCGTGAAGATTTACAGTCTTGGAGACCCCAAGGGGGTCTTTTTGAGTCGGAATCGACTGGATGGAGTAAGGAAATCTTAAGTAGGGGGTGAGAAGCTAGGAAGGGGCGGAGACAATTAGCCCGGGTTGTTGTTGTTGTTATTTGCCATCGAGTCGGCCCCGACTCATAGCGACCCCTCCTTGGGTTTCCAAGGCAGTATCACTATGGAAGTAGATTGCCCAACCTTCCTTCCGAGGAGTGGCTGGTGGGTTTGAACCGCCAGCCTTCTGGTTAGCAGTCAAGTGCCTTAGGCACTATGCTAAGCCCGGGTTAAAGACGTTTAAAACCTTGAAACTTAGCCCTTAAACGCGTCTTGTCTTGGATGCGTTCCGCTGTGAGTAAGCACTGTGCTGGCAGAAACTCCAGCATGTGTACGTTTGAGGCTCTAGTGTGGCCTAATGAGACCGTGCCTGCCCTGCCAAGGCCAAGAATTGGGCCTGGGATCTGGAGTTCCTGGGACAAGCACTCCTTTTGTTTTTTCATTCTTTCCACTTCTTTTAAAGCTCAGCCTCATGTAGCATTTGTTATGTGTCAGGTATTGTTCTAAGTGCTTTGCCTGTTTAATCTTACTCTGCTTGCTCATGTCTTTCATTCTTTTAACGCAAGGATTTTAAGAGATTGAGTGACGAGTACTTATTGATGACACTAATAATGTCTTAAACCTCATTTCATAATTAACTGTGTAATGTATAGGAAACATATGTTTAGTTCATGGTAGAGTTCAGTTCAAGAACCTTGCTTTGCATTTCATTCTTTATAGTTGGGATGCTGTTTATGAAAGAGAACTGCAAACTTTCCGGGAATATGGAGATGCGGGAGAAATCTGGTGAGTTAGGGACAAAAACTATGCTCTAGATGATTCCACATGTGTGTGTCTGTGTATGTGTGTGTGTGCGCGCATACCAAGTGCTTATTCCAAAGAAGAAAAGCCTAAAGGTGTTGGGAACACAGGACTGATTCTGGCTTTAGTAGGTAGATTTATAACATCTCTTTTTCTCTTTTGTCTTTTAATGACCCAGATTTAGAGTATTAAGAAATTACTCTCATCTTAATAGTTGTCCTTCTTTAATAAGAAATAAAGTTTTGAGCAAGCAACATGCACAAGTGTTAATGATGATGTAGGGAAACTATTAAAAGTAACATACGAACCTTGTCTGTTTTATTAGAGTTATTTGCTCCCAAGTAGCAGTTGATAGGGAGCTAAGCAGTCATGGGTATTACTTCTTCCTTAAGCAAAAGACTAGATTCAGTGTATGGTATAAACTGCTTAAATGGAAGACAGCTGTAATTTTTCCTTTCTCTCCTTTTGTTTTTTGATTAACTGGTTTTCTGTTTCTAACAGGTTTGGAGAAGAGAGTATGAATCGATTGATAAGGTGGATAGAAAAACAGAAGATCCCATTGGATGCTTCAGTACTTGATATTGGAACTGGAAATGGTGTTTTCCTAGTTGAACTTGTTGGTACTTTTGGTATTCATGTATTTGAGCTAAGTTTTAAAATGACAGTTTTAAAAAATACTGTAACTGGGGCTATTAACTATCTAAAGTAGTCAAGTAATGATAACATTTACTGTGAGAAGCTACCTGGGACAAAAAGGAGGCTGCAGGAGAAGCCAGAGTACCTGAGTACTACTCTTGGCCCTTCTGGTTATCATCTTGACCTTGAGCAGCCCACTGATTTTCTCCAGCCTTTCGCTCTTTCCTAAGGTTGCTGACTAAATGATCTCTTTTGGCTTCCACTAGCTCAAAACTCCGGAAATCTATACATATTAAAGGAGAGTGACATTTTGCAATTCTAGTAAAACACATACACCTTAGCTTAGGTGTGTGTATGGTTTGAAAAGAGTATTATGTTAATGGAACTGAGTTTTGCTACAAATTTGATTAGTAGTTAAATCACCACTGTTGTTGCCTGCAAGGAGGTTTGGTGATGTAGTGGGTAAGATGTTTAGCTGCTAACCAGGTTGTCAGAAGTTCAAATTCACCAGCTGCTCTGTGGGAGGAAGATGATGCAATCTACATCTGTAAAGATTTATAGCCTTGGAAACCCAGTGAGGGTCGCCATGAGTCAAAATCTACTGGGTGGCAGCAAGTTTGATTGCTGCCTGTAGTGTGCCCAATGTGGTCATGGATACTATGGAGTGAAGATGGTGTTACAATCTAATTAGGAAGGATAAAGAATGAAATTTGTTGAGTGACTTCCATATGGCAGATCTTGTGCCGGGCACTGACATCATGCGGATTTAGACCTTGTGCTCAAGTTGGTCACAGCCGAATAGAGGACGGACTGACAGGAAAAGACAATTGTACTCTAGCTTGATGAGTACAATAATAGATAAGTACTGAGCATAGAAGAGAGAGCAGTTAGCTTTGAGAAAGAGCGATAGAGAAGGAGCATGAGTAGGGCTCGGGGCAGGCGGGTGTCATGGAGGAGGGCACAGAGAGGCGGGGATCTGGGGTCTTGGGCCGAGCAGAACTGGGGGCGTACCGAGGGGGGAAGCTGAGGGCTGCCTTGGCTGAGGTGAGGGGGCAGAAATGCGAGGGACCGGCAGAGAAGGGTTTTCCAAGTTGGGTGGAAATTGTAGAGACAAGATGAGCTGAGTTAGTAGGGTGTAAAGAAGGAGAAAATTGAAATCAATGGAAACAACATCTCAAGGCAGGAAAGCTTGCAGCAGTGTAGCATATACTGGGGCCTGTAAGTCATTTGGAGCTCTGGTGGTGTAGTGCCGCCAGACATTCTGCAGAAGGAAGACTAGGCAGTCTACTTCTGTAAAGTTTTACTGCCTTGGAAACCCAGTGGGGGTTGCTGTGAGTTGCAATCAGCTTGATGGCAGTGAGTTTGGTTTTTGAGTTTGGTTATAAATCATTTGATAAGTTGAAATGTAATGAAGCTATTCTTATTTTATGGTGCATATATACATGAACTTGTGCTGGATGTATATCTAAGAATGGAGTTTCTAGGTCACAGAGTATGTATTTGTTTAGCTTTAATAGATATGCTGAATGATTTTCCCAAGTGGTGATTCCAGTTTACACTCTCACTGGCAGTCTGAAAATTCTAGTTGCGCAACATCTGTTACAATGCTTTGTCAGTTTAAAACATTTTAGCTGTTCCAGTAGGTGTATGGGAGTCCCTGGATGGCACACAGTTCACATGCTTACTGCTAACTGAAAGGTTGGTGGTTTGAGTCTGTCCAGAGGCGCCCTGGAGGAAAGGTCGGGTATCTACTGAAGAGTCAGCCATTGAAAACGCTATGGAGCACAGTGCCGCTCTCACATACTTGGGGTTGCTGTGAGTTGGAATTGACTTAATGACTGTGGTTTTTTTTTTTTTGGGTGGGGGGTAGGTATATAGAGGTACTTTGTGGTTTTAGTCTCTTTTCCCAGGTGACTAAAGATGTTGAGCATGCTCTGTAGCTGTTTAGGTATTCTTGAAGTACCTGCTCAAGTTTTTACCCATTTTTAAATTGAGTGACTTGTCTTTTTCTTATTGATTTGTTGTTGTTGTTGTTGTTGTGTGCCGTCGAGTCAGATCCAACTCATAGTGACCCCTCCTTCGGTTTCCGAGGCAGTATCACTACGGAAGTAGATTGCCCCATCTTCCTCCCGAGGAGTGGCTGGTGGGTTTGAACTGCCAGCCTTCTGGTTAGCAGTCAAGTGCCTTAGGCACTACGCTACCAGAGCTCCTTATTGATTTGTAGAGATTCTTTAAAAATTTAGGGTACTTCACTTTTGTATTGCAAGCATGATCTGTGGCTTACTTTCTTATCTTGTGATGTTGTTCTTGTTGTTGTTACGTGCCGTCCGAGAAGTGGCTGGTGGGTTTGAACCACCAGCCTTCTGGTTAGCAGTCAAGTGCCTTAGGCACTATGCCACCAGAGCTCCCTTCTTGTGATAGTATCCTTAATTTTACTAAATTTCCGCTTACTATTCTTTTTTTTTTTTTAGTGGAGTGCTTTGTCAATATAAGAAATTTCCGTGTACCCAGAGTCATCTTTTGCTGTGTTTTCTTCTGGAAGCTTTATTATTTCCCTTTTCATGTTTAGGTCTCTGTTATTTTATGTGTATGTTATAAGATAGAGGTCAAGGTTTTTTTTCCATGTGAGTATCTAGATAACCCAGCACTATTTATTAAAAAGACATCTGTTCCCCCACTGTGTGATTGTGGCACCTCTCGTGAAGGCCAGTTGTTGTGTTTGTGTGAGTCTGATTTTGGAATCTCTGCTGATTTTGTGGTCTTTTTGCTTATTCTTATGATACAATGCCGTCCTAATTCCTGCAGCTTTATCAATTTAGGTGTTTGCTTAGTGTAGGTACTGCATCTTTGATTTCCTTCCATCTGTTGTTGCCTTGATTGTTGTTAGTTATAGCTTCTCTTTGAGCATTTAAGTAATAAATTCTAGAATCATTGCTTTATAGAAAAAACCTGGGCTTTTGATCAGGATCATGTTGGGTCTATCATTTTGGGGAGGATTTCTGTCTTTACAGCATTGAGTCTTTGAATCCATGAACACAGTGTAGTCCTCCATTTATTTTGTTCTTCTTTCTTTTCTCCCTGATATTTTATAGTTTTCTTTGTAGAGGTTTTACACATGTTTTGTTAGATTTATTCCTAGATTTTTTTTTTTTTTTTT